TTCACGACCAGCCTCGCCTTCTCATGCTAGACGGTGTCGTCGATGCAGTACTTCGTCGTCATTCACCACCGGGTTCTTCATGATAATCACCCTCGGCGCCCGTTCGGAATAGCTCCCACGTGCGCCATGTTGATGCGGCTGGGATCTCTTCCTCCATGGCGGCCTTACGGCCTGGCCCTTCCAGCTCGACAGCGCCTCCTTCACCGTATCGTAGAAATATCCCAGCGGTGCTCGGGATCTGCGTGCATATCAAGGTCCAGCTCTGGCAGGTCCTCATTGTCCTCAGCGTCGTCATACGCCAGATCGTCATCGTCCACGTCGTACACCGGCGTCCTCTCCATCATCACTGGCGTCGCTGCCATCAGCATCTGCTTGCACCACGGCCGACACCTCTGCGGACTTCTCCCCTGTAGTCAGCTCCCCGGCCGACTTCCGGTCGCCGACTGCTCCCTTGGTCGGCTTCGATGCTGCCTGCACCCCTGTGGGCTGCTGCCCTGCCAATGACGCCGACTTCACCACTGTTGTCTTTACCTCGGACTGCTCTTCTCCTGCTGGCGTCGACTTCAGCCTCACGTTGACTTCCTAGACGTCACGTCGGCCACCGGCGATGCGCTTGGCCAGCGCCACAGGCGATGCCTCAATTCTCCCCTCATCGCCGGAGGCCGACACGGAGTCAGCCCACGCAGGTCGGCCATCAGGGGAGGAGCAGGAGGGGAAGGGGAGGGGGTCATCCTTGACGTCCTCAAGAGCAGGATCACAGACCTTGGCGAGTAGAGGGAGTGTCGCCGTCGAGGTGTCCGTCCCGACGCCGGCTCGTGCTCTGACTTCTACACCTCTAGTGACATGTCCTTGTAAAACCCCACGTCCGACGTGGTGACCACCCTGTTGTCAACAATGTTGAGGAGCTCCCAGCCCTTGCTCTCCTCTGACACGCCGAGGTGAAGGCCCACCTGGCCTTCGGCTTTAGCTCTCCACGTCGCTGCTACTCGGGGACGAGGAACTGCGCCATGCAGCTCCACACTCGTGCCAGCGACAAGTCGGGCTTCTTCCCAGTCAGCAGCAGGTATGGCGTCGTCCCTGGCAACACCGTCGACCTCTCCAGGCAGTTGCGGACCCAGACGGCCTGCCGCAGAGCGAGGTGCCACTAGCATCATCCATGTGCAGCACGCCCATGTGCAGCAGCATCATCAACACCAACTCCACCACCGTTCTCATCTTTCGCTCCGCCATGCCGTTCTGCTGCGAGGTGTACAGGCAGGTCAGGTCGTGAACGATCCCCTTTCCGTTCACGAAGTCGGTGAACTGCTTCCAAAGGAACTCCCCTCCTCAATCAGAGCGCGGCATCAACACCGATTTCTTTGTGTGTCGCTCAGCCACCGCCAGCCATTGCACAAACTCCTGCAGCGCATCCGACTTCTTGGCGACCGGCCTCACCCACATATAGCGGATCTTGCAATCGTTCAGCAATAAGAAGTACAGGCTGCTATCCTTGGCAGCCACTCGGAATGGCCCGCATAGGTCGATGTGCACAGCGGCCAGCACGTCGTCAGCGTCGGAGCCTTGGTCGGGGAAGGTGTGTTGTGTCAGCTTCCCGCCGATGCACGAGATACACGGCGAGTCGGCGCCCAACGCCGACTTGAGGTCTAGCCCAGTGGCGATCTCGTGCTTCACCGAGCTTCGTATGGTGTCCATGCATACATGCGCAAGCCTCGCGTGCAGCCTGTCCGCGGTCGACTTTGTCGCCGAGACTATCGCCCACAGGGCCACGACCTCCGTGGTTGGCGATGTCGATTTCGTCGAGCAGGGGCGCAGGTCAGTGCAAAGGACTCGGCTGGTGTAGGACACCCGACCAAGGACGGCCCACCGCCGAGACGAGCAACATCTCGTTGCCGTCCTCCTGCAGTTTCACGCCGTTCTCCTTCAGCTAGTCGGCCGAAAACAGGTTCGCTCGCACGCCCGGGACGTAGAGCACGTCAGGGATAAGGACCTGCTTCCGGCCTCCCCTTGCAGAACGACAGTGCCGCAGCCCTGGACGTCCTGTAGCGCCCATTGAAGTCGCACACGTGCTTGATGTCGCCGCTCGGCTACAAGTTGACGAAGACCTCCTTCGTCCCCATCAGGTGATGCCAACAGCCGCTGTCGAGCAGGACTACTGCCGGGTTCCCCTGCACAGCTGCCGCCATCGCCTGGAAGTCCTCGCTGGCTTCCGGCGCCAACAAGACTGTCGGCTCCACGACCCCGACCAGCGAGCACGACGCCTCCTTGCTGTCTCGCCCCTTGCCGCCAGCAAAAGAGTCGGCGTCCTTTGTCGAGGTCGACTTGGTCGACTGCTTCTCCTTACGAGGCTTGATTCTGTTCACAGGAATGGAGTGTTGGGCCCGCCCTCGCTTGGGCAACGACGACGACTTGTTCGGATGTACAGGAGTAGCAGCCGACCGTTCACAGTGGGAGAGCTGCTCGACAGACTTTGTCGAGCTGCAGGGGACCGCTGTGGTGTTGCTGTCGACCAGGAAGCTTGACAGCTGAAACTAACTGGTCTGGGCGACAGTGGGACGTCGACCAGGACCTACAGCTCGACCAGGACGTCTCCGAAGCATCCCGTCGACCTGCCGTTCGAGCTGGAGGTCTCCGGAGCATCCCGTCGACCTACAGTTCGACCGGGAGGTCGACTGAGGAGTCCGTCGACCTGACAAGTGAGCAGAAGTCGACGAGGGGAGCTCGGCGACAACCGCTGACGGTTCTGGTCGACGGAAGGGGTCCGTCGACCAGGGGGGTAGCTCGACGGGAGTTGTGGTCGACCATAGGGACCTGGGGGTCGACCAGAAGCAGTGGTGGTCGACCGGAAGCACCTGGTGGTCGTCCGGGTCGACCGGGCAACCTACTCGACGAGTTCTGCGGAGGCACGCGAACGTCGTCGAGGTCGCGATGGCGAAGGCGACTGCCGGCTGGTATCCAGAAGTCGATGTGGCTCGTCAGGCGCAGACAACAGCCGACAGATGCCCAACGAGGCAAGTCGGGCCAATTGTCTGCGCGCACCTGCGAGCGTGCGCACTGCTGTGTTCTACGGGGCAACGCTGGACAGCCGCTCCGCTGCAGCGTTGGCACGCCGTCGACCTGCTCTGTTGGCAGGTTGCCTTTCCGCAGTGCTGGCGCGGCCCCTCTACGCAACGCTGGCAGGCGGTCGACGAGCTGTGCTAGCGGTCGACCAGGCTAGCTGCAGGGTTGCTACGTGCCGGATGTAGTCATTCTGACATTGCTTGTTCAATCAGTTCTGTAATTTCGACTTTGGCTAGTGAAAACTCTTGCCGATTTCTCCCGTGAATGTGCAAGCACTAAGGAACCAAGCAAAGCTAGGATCACCTCTAGTAGTTCGTGCCAACCCCCATAGTCTAGCTCACTACCGTTGTAGAGTGACTCCCCGCAATAACTTTGCTGAGTGGTCCTTCAGAATGGAGAACGTATTTGACCACTATGACCTGCTGGAGGTGATGGAAGGAACAGAGAAGTGCCCCGAAAACGACCCGGAGAAGAGCCCGTTGGTGCGGAAGAGCGCACAAGGCTACCTCCTACTTGGGCAAGCGTTGGGGAGCAGCCAGATACGTCACACCAAGCCATTCCAGGTGTGCAGGCCAACCCGATGGCGGTGCTGCTCGACAGCAGGTGCTCCCACCACCTGATGGGGACGAAGTCGGTCTTCGTCGACATGGGGCCGAGCTATGGGGTGAAGTACGTGCGTGGGTTCAACGGGGCATTGCAGCCTTTCGAGGGTCGCGGAACCGTCGCTTTGCAAGGGGAGGCCGGGAAGCAGGTCCTCATCTCCGACGTGCTCTATGTTCCGGGCGTACAGGCGAACCTGTTGTTAGCTGGCCAACTGAAGGAGAGCGGAGTGCAGCTACAGGCGACGGCGACGAGATGCTGCTCATCGCTACAACGGGGCGCCCCTCCCCTGCCCATGGCGCCCACCAGGTGTTGGACAAGGAGGTCGGCTACTGCCAGGCTTGTTCCCCTTGCCCTCTCCGCCTCCCCTTGCCCTATCCGCCTCCCCTTGCCCTCTCCGCCTCCCTTGCCCTCTCCGCCTCCCTTGCCCTCTCCGCCTCCCCTTGCCGTCTCCGCCTCCCTTGCCCTCTCCGCCTCCCTTTGCTCTCTCCGCCTCCCTTGCCCTCTCCGCCTCCCTTTGCCTCTGCCTCCCCTCTCCCTCTCCGCCTCCCTTTGCCCTCTCCGCCTCCCCTTGCCCTCTCCGCCTCCCTTTGCCCTCTCCGCCTCCCCTTGCCCTCTCCGCCTCCCTTTGCCCTCTCCGCCTCCCCTTGCCCTCTCTGCCTCCCCTTGCCCTCTCCGCCTCTCCTTGACCTCTCCGCCTCCCCTTGCCCTCTCCCCCTCCCCTTGCCCTCTCCCCCCCTTTGCCCTCGCTCCCTCCCCTTGTGTGCATCCCATGCCCTCTTGTGCACACACGGTGTGAGTGTGGAAGCTAACACCCCAGGCAAGTGCATGCATGGCATGGCACGCAGTGTGGAAGCTAACACCCCAAGCTAACACCCCAGGCAGGTGGGTCCACGCTCTAGCTGTAGAGACCTACGGCTACCCGTTGCCTGGGGTGTTAGCTTACCTTACAGTTGTGTAGCTTACCTCAGCAGTGTGTATCACCGTGTGTGCATCACCGTGTGTGCATCACCGTGCGTGCATCATCGTGCGTGCTCTCGGAAATCTCTTGGCTCCCCTGCCTCTCTGTTACCCACTCTGCCATGCTCGTCTTGCTCTGTTGCTCTGCAGTGCTCCTGTCTGTTCTGGACACGGTGCTTGATGCTTTCTCTGCCCCTCTTCTGGCTCATGCTTGCCTTGCCTCCTTGTTCGGGGCTCTGCTTGATCCAGCATGGCATCCAGAAAACCTCACTAACCCATCTAGGCCGACTAGCTGGCTCCTGCTATTCTTGATTCTACCCGTGTTGGTTTAAAAGGATTACATTGAGAAAAAGCAGGAAACATACAACGAAGCACCTAGCACTAGGGCTCAGTAGCTCTATGTACAAGATGAGATTGACTGCCCTAGCCTAGTGCTTCAGCGGAAAGGGACAGACAGAGATCATGCGTGAGCGAGGCTCGGGCTTCCCGAGTCGTATGTACAAGCCGCTGGCGGTTTGGGGCTGCATGTGGTTTGGCACCAGAAACTGTGCCAGCTGCCCGGTTTTCTCGCATGTGCACTTGCAGCCCTCGCCACTGTCGGCCGTGCTGCTCGTATCCTCGTTAGCAGCGCTCGCCCTGCCACAGCACAGAATAGCATTCATACAAAGAAAACACGCAAACCCCCCCCCAAAACCCTCTCCCGACATTCACTTGCTCAAGGCTCGTCCTCGCTATGGTACAAAAATATGTACACCGCAGCCCGTTCGTGTGCTGCTCCTTGTTCCGCTTACACTTGCCCCAATGAAACCCATCTCACTGATTTGTCATGCACACGCCTTATGCCACAGCTGCTGTCTCGGCATAATGTTGCCCTCCATGGTCTACATAATACCGCCGACAGCTGTCGGAAATCTCTTGCTCCCCCTGCCTCTCTGTTACCCACTCTGCCATGCTCATCTTGCTCTGTTGCTCATGCATGCTCCTGTCTGTTCTGGACACGGTGCCTGATGCTTTCTCTGCCCCTCTTCTGGCTCATGCTTGCCTTGCCTCCTTGTTCGGGCTCTGCTTGATCCAGCATGGCCACTCACTTGCCCCCTTTGGAGCTGGCTACGGCTCCTGCATGCCCAGCTCCAGACTTCCGAGCTCCTGGTGCGAGCTCGGGCGGTGTTCGTGGCATGATCCCTGACACCGTCGCCCTTGCTGATTCTCCAGCACTACGACTCCAGACTCCTTGGCTTCCACCACCTTCCACCGTTCTTCGCTCAGACCGCGGTCCAGGACAGTCTGCCGCGCCGTGCGATGATACACCTCTTGCCCCTGCTGCAACTGCTCTACCCCCGGGCGTGCGTTGTCCCCCAACCGCTCCTGGTACCTGTGTGCATCGCGCAGCTGTGCCACGTGGAGATTTTCCATGGCCGATGGCAGGAGTGCCCGCAGATAGTCCCCTCGCACCTTCGCCAGAGCGGCCCACAGCTCGGGTGCACCTGCTGTCACGACGTCAGTGAGCACCCTTGGAGCTCCCACTGGCAGTATGGGCTCCCGCCCATACAACAGGTAATAGGGGGAGGCGTCTCGTAGTGCCGCTTGCTTGCTGAAACGGTACCCAGCCGCCACCCAGTGCAGATCCTCGTCCCATGTGCGCCGGTGGGGCCTCCCCATATGCCCTCAGGCCGCGCTTGAGGGTCTGCACCATCCGTTTGGTGAGCCCGTCAGCCTGAGGATGGTAAGCGGGAGGTCCTGCGATTCGTGATCCCAATTGCGGTCAAGGCTCTGTCGATTCTCCGCGGAACTCTGTGCCTTGATCGGTGAGCACCTCCCAACATGCTCCCATCCGAGTGAGGACCTGCTCTGTGAACGCCTCTGTCACCAGGGCCGCGCTCTTACTGCTGAGGGCCCGTACCTCCACCCACTTGCTGACGTGCTCGATCATTACCAGTATGTACTTCTTGCCACGGCGGCTCAAGGGTAGCTCCCCCGCCATGTCGAGGGACCATCTGTATCCTAGTCCGCGGATGGGTAGGGATTGCAGCTGCTGCTGGCTGCGCTCCAGCTTGGGCTCGGTTGCGGTCACAAGCCTCACACTGCCCCACATGCTCCCGAATCTTGCCGCGCCATGCCTGCCCACCACCACCCTGTGTTGACCAGCTGGGTAGTCCTGATATGCCCGAAGTGGCCCAACTGCTGATGCACCTCGGCGAATGATGCCCTCAGCGCTCTGCTGGCGGCGGAACTAGCTTCCATCCCTCCCTCGTTCTCAGCTGGACCTGCCCCGCGTACCACCTGTAGTGCTGCCCTTCGTGCTCGTGCTCTTTCTGAGGCTGGTTCTTCCGCTTTGGTCTCCCCTCTGAGCCACCTGAGCGTCTCCTCGTCCAGCCAGATGTCTGGCGCCCCCCGCTGCTCCTCCTGGCGCTCCCCTTGCCTCTCTGCCTCTCTCGTCAACGCCACCAGGCTCGCCACCGGCTCTGCGGGTGGAGGGTTGCGAGACAGCCCGTCGACGTGCTGCAGCGTACGGCCTGGCCTCTGTTTGACCACGAAGTCGGACTCCTGGAGCCTCATTGCCCATCGTGCATTCCGCCCGGTCAGGGTGTGGTTGGTCATGAGCCATAGAAGTGGCTGGTGGTCAGTAACCAGTGTGAACTCGCGTCCTTGCAGGTAGGACTCGGAAATGCGTCACTACCCACACCGCCCGCTAGCCCCTCGCCTTTGTAAGAGCTGTAGTTTGCTTCTGCCGCGTTGCAGCTGCGGCTGGCGAACGCCACCACCCTTTCTCCTTCCTCCCTTGCTGGCAGAGCACTGCCCCCATGCCTGCGCTGCTCCAGTCCAAGTAGAGAGTGAACCTACCCTCTGGTTTCGGCAGCAGCAGCACAGGCCCTGACTTTACCGCGTCCAGCAGATCCTGTAATGCCCCTGCTCCGTTGCCCCCCATTTCCACGCCACATCTTCCCTTAGAGCTGATTAAAGCTGGCGGCCCGCTTGCTGAAGTTGGGCACGAATTTGCGGTAGTAGTTCAGAAAAGCCCAGGATGGCCCTGAGCGCCGTCCGGGCTCTCGGGCACCGCCAGCTTGTCTAGCACTGCCACCTTCGCCTGCTGGATCGTCATCTGCCCTCTGCACACCTCAAACCCGAGGTATTGCACCGTCAGTGTCCCGAACCTGCACTTTTTGGGGTGGCAGGTTAGTCCCTGCTGCTTTGATCACCTCAGCACCTGCCCGACGTCCTTTACGTGCTCCTCCGCGGATGAGCTGTACACCACCACGTCATCGATATAACAGGCTGCGCAGTGCTGCAAATTCCTCAGCACCCGGTCCATGGCTTTCTCGAAGACTGCAGAGGCGTTCTTCAGGCCGAATGGCATGAAGAGCCATTCGTACAACCCATCTGGCCCGTGGAATGCGGTTTCCTTCACGTCAGCCTCCGCAATGCGTATCTGGTTAAAAGCCCTGTCGAAGATCTAGCGTGCTGAACACCAGTGCCCCCTGCAGCTTGTCAAAGATTTCTTCTGGCGTCGGCATGGGTAGCGGTTGGCCACGGTCGGTTTGTTGAGGTCTCGATAGTCTCCACACATCCGGCGCGACAGGATTCCTCCGGTGAGCTCCTTCCTTGCCGCCACCACGGTTGCGGTTGCGTACTCTCACTCTGAGGGCCTGATGAGGCCCGCCTCCAGTAGCTCACGGCACTTCTCCATGCACACCTCCAAATCCCTCGGGCTCATCCTCGGCTTGCGCTGGTACACCGGTATCTCTTCCGTCAGCCTTATCTCCATCTCTCCTCCCTGTACTTGCCTAGCTCGAGTAGGGTGAAAGCAAATGCCTGTCTGTTTTCTTTCAGTATCACCCTCATCTGCTCCTTCAGCTCCCCCGTGAGGCCTTCGTCCACCTCCCAGTGTACCTCTTGCTCCATCTGCCGCTCTCTCGGTGCTTCGGCTGGGATAGGGTTGTGCTCTGGTCCCCGCGCTATTTCCTTCCTGGCCGCTTCGGATGTCTCAGCCTGCGCCCTCCTGGTTGCTCCCTCCGCCGCTGGTTTCTTCTCCTGCCGTTCCTTGCTGCATCTCTTCTTCTGGTGGTTCGATCCAGCTTTCTCCTGCGAGGGCTCCTCCGCTGCTAGCCGCGTCTGCTGCGAGGGCTCCTCTGCTGTGGCCGCTCCATCTGAAGTTCCGACAGGATCTGCTCTGCCCTGCGCTGGCTGGCACCCACCTTCTCCTCTGTGTCACCCCCTGTGCCACCCACTTCTGCCTCCATTTCCAACTGCTTGGATGCCAAATGCATCTGAATCACATGCACCAGCCAGTGCATTGCCTCCGCATCCATTGCCCTCCCCAGGGCTTCACGCCTCGGCGTCTCTCCCACCTCTGCGGTTGCTGTTGCGTCCGGGAGAAAGCCCATCGCCAGCTCACGTTCCCTTACCGTCGGCTCCTCCCATAGATCCTTCATGCGGTCATACACCATCCCGGGCCCTGGCAGACCCTCGCTCCAGATGAATCCATGTGCCTCTGGGCGTGCCACCAACGTAGGCCACGCTTCTCGAGGTAGCCCTGGCTCGTTACACTGGAACTGACTGGGGTGGTCCGGCTTGAGCACGGGGGCTGCCAGGCGGTGAGGTTCCAGGATGTCTTCCAGCGGGCGCGGCGCTGGCCTCTCAATTTGTATGAGCTCCCACCTCAGCTTTCCTTCCGACACCCCGTTTTGCCAATAGCGTCTCACTCGGTGTGAGTAAGATTTTTGCTGGACCGCGTCCCATGCCACCCCTGGCCCCAGTGCAGCTGCCACCACATCCTGCATGCGTCGCACTGGCTCCCTGCAGTCCGTGGAGAAGTCGGGATTCTCTAGGATGTACAGGTACTCTCCGTGCTGCTGATAGACCAGCTTCATCACCCACAGCAGCTCCAAAAACAAGGTTGACCTGGGGTCATCCAGCCCCTTGCCCTTTCCGGCTCTCGAGACCCCTTGGCATTCCCACTCGGCCACCAGAAGGTCTACTGTCCCCCATCGCTTCACATCCTCCGGAGCCACCTCCCTGATGTCGTGTGTCATATCTTCCTCAGCTTCCGCCTCCACTCCTGCCATCATTTGCGTGGGGTAGATTCCTCTCAGCCTCTTCGCGTGGTGCATGGCCATGCGCCTCACCACTGGGTCGAGTCCACGAGCACCCATTTCTTCACTCTGCACCCTGCCTTGAGCGCCGCCGCCAGTCCGGTACCGACGCCTCGGAACAATTCCACAATGGTTAGGGGCTTCTGTAGCCTCTCCAGATCCGTCATCCGTGGAGGCAGAGCGAGGGGCCTCTCTGCATTCTCTGCCTCTGCCCTTCGAGTCTCCTGCTCCAGCACGTATTGCCTCCAGGACCAGTCCTCTAGTTGCTCGTCATCTCTGCCATGCGGGCTTGGAAGGCTCCTCGGGGCTCTCTTTTCACGAAGTGCACCGGCAGAGTACCCACCGGACCGTCATCTCGCCAGTACTGCGCACGGTATAGACACTTTCTCCTGCCAGGTGCAGATGGTGGCGCCGATACGGTACAGCAGCTCCATGCCGATGAGCAGATCGTAATCTTCTGAGGGCGAGATCCCGCAGCGCATCCGGATTCGGCATTCGTCTTTCGATCCTGGCCGAAGGATCACTTCCACCGGCATGCGCGTGCACGGCATCCATTTCGGCTCTCCGCCTTCTGCCGTCATTACCAGTATGCCTCTCGTTATGAGCCTGTTCGGATGATCCAGCTCGAGCCTTTTGGCCAGGTCTTTCCCAAGCAGGATATGGTTTGCTCCGGTGTCGATGATGGCTTGCGCCACAGCTAGCTCGCCCACCGTGATGCTCCCTTCTCTATGGTCAGTACCGACGGCTGACAAACCATCCTTTCCTTTGGGTGTCGTTCAGACGTCATCTCCTGCTCTGGTTCTGCCGCGTAACCCCGGAACCTTCTTATGACTCGGTCTGGCCGATCTGCGCGTCCCTGCCCATCGCTGCGGAGCCGGATCTCCTCCCTCTGTCGCGGTGCTTGCACCATCAGCACGAACTCGGCTTCGCTCCCTTCTCCCTCTTCTTCCTTCGCGAGCATAGCCGGCTCTCTCCGTGCACCGCCCTCCAGCTCTCGAATCCTTACCTGTAGCTGCTGAAGCGGATTCTCCAGAACTTCCTTGCTCCTCGGTCCTGCCGAGCCGGGCCGGCGACTGTAGCAATCCTGTGTGCGATGCCCGCGTCTCCCGCGGTTCCCGCAGCTAGGGATTTCGGGGCAGTCTCGGCGGAGGTGTCCCTCCTCTTGGCAGTGATCGCACTTCGGTGGCCTGCTGGAGTCCCTCTGCAGATGCCCCTCCTGGCCACACCGGTGACACTTGCGCGTCTCGGTCTCGGCGCCCCCGTCCTCCTGCCGGGAATTTCCCCCGTTGAAACGGCCGACCACGCGGGCCTGCGCCGCTCCTCCGGTTGCATCCCTCCCCTCTCCATTTCGTACAGCCGCAGACCCATCTCTTGCTTCTTGGCCAGCTCGTACGCGTGTTCCAGTGTGGCCGCCGGTCCCATCTCGAAGACTCTCCCTCGTACTTCACTTGCCACCCTTTCGTCCAAGCTGTTTAGGAATTTCGTCACGAGCCTCCATTCGTCGCGACACTCCATGTCTGAGGCTAGCTCCCGCAGTCGGCCATAGGTTGCCAGCAAGGACTCTCCAGGCTTCTTCCGAAATTATGCGAACTCTTTCATCCGCTCAGGTGTCTGCACTGGGAAGTGTCGGCAAAGCGTCGCGAAGAACTGCGTCACCACTTCCCACGTGACCCCAGCTGCCGATTCGCTGAGCATGCGCTCCAATTCCATGCCGTACGCCGTCTCCTCCGCTTCTCCCGTGACCGTGTTTGAAAGTCCTCAGAAAAAGTCTTCGGGCTCCAGCCCATCCTTCATCCAGCGGTATTGCGCGTTGCGGATCTGCATCATGCAGTTCTTAAGGCTGCTTCCCACGCCCGGAGTGCCTGCAAACCGTTCCGGCACCTCGATCTTTGGCAGCGCCGCATACCGCACAGGCGGGCGCATGACCTCGGTGTTGTGATGTTCTGACAGGGAGAATCTCCTGGTCTGTCGGAGCAGCTCGCCTTCCGCACTCGTGCCTTGTGCGGCATCTCCGCTCCGCGGCGGCTCAACGGTCTCACCCACTTCTGCGAGGGGTCTACCGGACGAGCTGTGAAAGGCGTCAAGCCCCCCGGTCGGCAGGTCACTCATGCTGTGCCTCCGATGCGGCGCCGTGTACGCTTCTCTCGTCGGCGCGCCTCCAGATCCTCCTGCTTGCGTGCCGACGGTCTCTCCCACCGCGTCTCCTGCTCGCCATCCTGGAGTCGCCATCACCGGCGGATCCGGAGGCAATTCGTATCATCTTCCAGAGCGTAGCTGCATTCACCGATGCGTCCTATCTTGTGGTGAGATTTCCTTCGTCGTATGTCAGAAAACCTCACTAACCCATCTAGGCCGACTAGCTGGCTCCTGGTATTCTTGATTCTACCCGTGTTGGTTTAAAAGGTTTACATTGAGAAAAAGCAGGAAACATACGACGAAGCACCTAGCACTAGGGCTCAGTAGCTCTATGTACAAGATGAGATTGACTGCCCTAGCCTAGTGCTTCAGCGGAAAGGACAGACAGAGATCATGCGTGAGCGAGGCTCGGGCTTCCCGAGTCGTATGTACAAGCCGCTGGCGGTTTGGGGCTGCATGTGGTTTGGCACCAGAAACTGTGCCAGCTGCCCGGTTGTCTCGCATGTGCACTTGCAGCCCTCGCCACCTGTCGGCCGTGCTGCTCGTATCCTCGTTAGCAGCGCTCCGCCCTGCCACAGCACAGAACAGCATTCATACAAAGAAAACACGCAAAACCCCCCCCCAAAACCCTCTCCCGACATTCACTTGCTCAAGGCTCGTCCTCGCTATGGTACAAAATATGTACACCGCAGCCCGTTCGTCTGCTGCTCCTTGTTCCGCTTACACTTGCCCCAATGAAACTCATCTCACTGATTTGTCATGCACACGCCTTATGCCACAGCTGCTGTCTCGGCATAATGTTGCCCTCCATAGTCTACATAATACCACGACAGTGCATCTCCGTGCGTGCATCCCCGTGCGTGCATCCCCGTGGGTGCATCCCCGTGCGTGCATCACCGTGTGTGCATCACCGTTTGTCCATCACCGTGTGTGCATCCCCGTGTGTGCATCACCGTGTGTGCATCCCCGTGTGTGCATCCCCGTGTGTGCATCACCGTGTGTGCATCACCGTGTGTGCATCACCGTGTATGCATCACCGTGTGTGCATCACTGTTTGTGCATAACCGTGTGTGCATCACCGTGTGTGCATCACCATGTGTGCATCACCGTGTGTGCATCCCCGTGTGTGCATCCCCGTGTGTGCATCACCGTGTGTGCATCCCCGTGTGTGCATCACCGTGTGTGCATCCCAGTGTGTGCATCACCGTGTGTGCACCCCCGTGTGTGCACCCCCGTGTGTGCACCCCCGTGTGTGCACCCCCGTGTGTGCACGCCCGTGTGCGCATCCCCGTGTGCGCATCCCCGTGTGCGCATCCCCGTGTGCGCATCCCCGTGTGCGCATCCCCGTGTGCGCATCCCCGTGTGCGCATCCCCGTGTGCGCATCCCCGTGTGTGCATCCCCGTGTGTGCATCCCCGTGTGTGCATCCCCGTGTGTGCATCCCCGTGTGTGCATCACCGTGTGTTTCATCACCGTGTGTGCATCCGTGTGTGCATCAGTGTGTGCATCCGTGTGTGCATCCCCGTGTGTGCATCCCCGTGTGTGCATCACCGTGTGTGCATCACCGTGTGTGCATCAACGTGTGTGCATCACCGTGTGTGCATCACCGTGTGTGCATCACTGTGTGTGCATCACCGTGTGTGCATCACCGTGTGTGCATCACCGTGTGTGCATCACCGTGTGTGCATCATCGTGTGTGCATCATCCGTGTGTGCATCACCGTGTGTGCATCCCCGTGTGTGCATCACCGTGTGTGCATCACCGTGTGTGCATCCCGTGTGTGCATCCCGTGTGTGCATCCCGGGTGTGCATCACCGTGTGTGCATCCCCGTGTGTGCATCACCGTGTGTGCATCCCCGTATGTGCATCCCCGTGTGTGCATCACCGTGTGTGCATCACAGTGTGTGCATCACCGTGTGTGCATCACCATGTGTGCATCCCCGTGTGTGCATCACCGTGTGTGCATCACCATGTGTGCATGCGTTTATATCAATGTGCATGTGCTTGCATATGTCATGTGCATTCATGTGTGAGAATGCCTGTGAATGCCCGTGTGTGTGACTTCCCCTATGTGTGAATGCCCGTTTGTGTGAATGCCCGTTCGTGTGAATGCCCGTTCGTATGATTGACGATGTGTGCCCCTGTAGCCCCCACACACACAGCTGCAAGTGCGCATGTACCAGCTCACCCACCTGCAGTGCGCATGTACCAGCTCACCCACCTGCAAGTGCGCATGTACCAGCTCACCCACCTGCAAGTGCGCATGTATCAGCTCACCCACCTGCAAGTGCGCATGTACCAGCTCACCCACCTGCAAGTGCGCATGTACCAGCTCACCCAGCTGCAAGTGCGCATGTACCAGCTCACCCAGCTGCAAGTGCGCATGTACCAGCTCACCCAGCTGCAATTGCGCATGTACCAGCTCACCCAGCTGCAAGTGCGCATGTACCAGCTCACCCAGCTGCAAGTGCGCATGTACCAGCTCACCCAGCTGCAAGTGCGCATGTACCAGCTCACCCAGCTGCAAGTGCGCATGTACCAGCTCACCCACCACTCATCCACACTCTGCCACGCGTGCGTGCCTTCTTCGAACACCTCGACATCAAACCCGTATGACACACCCAATGCCACGCTATGCCATGCCACGCTATGCCATGCCACGCTATGCCATGCCACGCTATGCCATACCACGCTATGCCATGCCACGCTATGCCATGCCCACGCTATGCCATGCCATGTTATGCCATGCCACTCTATGTCATGCCACGTTATGCCATGTGCCACACTATGCCATGCCACGCTATGCCATGCCATGTTATGCCATGCCACTCTATGTCATGCCACGTTATGCCATGTGCCACACTATGCCATGCCACGCTATGCCATGCCACGCTATGCCATGCCACTCTATGCCATGCCCTGCTATGCCATGCCACGCTATGCCATGCCATGCTATGCCATGCCACTCTATGCCATGCCACGCTATGCCATGCCATGCTATGCCATGCCACTCTATGCCATGCCACGCTATGCCATGCCACGCTATGCCATGCCACACTATGCCATGCCACGCCATTCTATGCCACGCTATGCCATGCCAGGCTATGCCATGCCGCGGCCCACACTATGCCATGCCACGCCATGCCATGTCATGCCATGCTATGCTAGCCGACGCCGGGCCATGCCATACCTGTTCTTCTGATGTGTCTCAGCTATTGTGTTCAATCACCATGCCTCACAACACCATGCTCTCTTCAGCTTTGACACGGCATCCCAACACTACAGCAAACCACTATTCTTTTCATCGTTGTTCCCCTCTCCCCTCACCCCATGCACTCCACCCCCCGCCACGGCCCACCCCAACATCACCTTACCACCTCCAATCCACCCCTTCCCCTCCGCTCACTTGCTTGCCATTCTCTGCCACCTCTGTGGGCTCCAGAAACTTGCATCCCTTTTCCCCATCCAACCCGCTTCCTCCACTCTCTTGGTGTCTCTCACTCCGTCAGTGCCAATCTCGTGTCCCTGTGCTTGCCTCTATCCTCGTGTCCCTGTGCTTGCCTCTATCCTCGTGTCCCTGTGCTTGCCTCTATCCTCGTGTCCCTGTGCTTGCCTCTATCCTCGTGTCCCTGTGCTTGCCTCTATCCTCGTGTCCCTGTGCTTGCCTCTATCCTCGTGTCCCTGTGCTTGCCTCTATCCTCGTGTCCCTGTGCTTGCCTCTATCCTCGTGTCCCTGTGCTTGCCTCTATCCTCGTGTCCCTGTGCTTGCCTCTATCCTCGGGTCCCTGTGCTTGCCTCTATCCTCTTGCCTCCGTGTGCTTCCCTCACTTTCATCCACCCCCTTTCTTCCGCCCCCTTGGTGCCTCTCATCTCTCATTTCTCATCTCTCATTTCTCATCTCTCATCTCTCATTTCTCATCTCTCATCTCTCAAGTCTCATCTCTCGTCTCTCATCTCGCATCACGGCAGTGGAGCAGGCCACGCCAATTGTCTTCAAGCTCGCCATCGTTCTCCTGCAGGTATCTTCCCTCTTACCTCCTCGCACCTCGCACCTCATCCCACCTCCTACCATCTCTTGCCATGCATCTCTCACCCACTTCCCATCACCCACCTCTCCTCTCCTCCCACAAATCCCCTCATACTTCCCATTCTCCTCCCCCCGTCCCTTTCCCCTGCTCTTCCTCCCAGTTCCCCCCCCCTGTCCCCTCCCCCCGACCCCTCCCCCGGTCCCCTCCCCCTTTCAACTTCCCACATCCCCTCCCACACCAGGTGGGCCGGCGGCAGCTGCAGCAGTGCCCGGAGATGGAGCACGCCATGTGCCTACTGCGCACAACTAAAAGTGCCTCACTTCACCACCTCATACCACACAGCCCCTCTCTGTACATCATGGTACCCCACATTCCCTCAAAGTGCCTCACGAGTTTTCAAGCGTGCGAGCTGGTTGGAGATTGTAGGTCTCTTTGGCTCGTCAGATATGGAATGCTTCAAATATGCAATATGATTTTACTTTTGTATTTGAAATCGCATCCACCCATTCCACGGTCACACATGTTCTCTCCTCGCACCTCACCTCACCTCACCTCTCTCTCACGCTCTTCAGTGCCTAAGAGCCTTCCTTCAGCTCTGCCTGCACTCCTGTCTCCTGTTTGTATGTGTCCATGCATTTCTGTGTGTGTCCATGTGCATGTTTGTGTATGTATCTGTGGTTGTGTTTTTGTTTGTGTGTGCGCGCGTGTGTGCGTGCGTATGTGTGAGTGCGTGCATGTGTCTCCTCTGACGTGCATGTGTGCATGCATGGTACCAGGCGGTGAGCGAGGAGGAGATGGAGGAGCTGGTGTGCAAGGCCGTGCGGGTGGAGCTGGTGTGCAAGGCCGTGCGGGTGGAGCTGGTGTGCAAGGCCGTGCGGGTGGAGCTGGTGTGCAAGGCCGTGCGGGTGGAGCTGGTGTGCAAGGCCGTGCGGGTGGAGCTGGTGTGCAAGGCCGTGCGGGTGGAGCTGGTGTGCAAGGCCGTGCGGGTGGAGCTGGTGTGCAAGGCCGTGCGGGTGGAGCTGGTGTGCAAGGCCGTGCGGGTGGAGCTGGTGTGCAAGGCCGTGCGGGTGGAGCTGGTGTGCAAGGCCGTGCGGGTGGAGCTGGTGTGCAAGGCCGTGCGGGTGGAGCTGGTGTGCAAGGCCGTGCGGGTGGAGCTGGTGTGCAAGGCCGTGCGGGTGGAGCTGGTGTGCAAGGCCGTGCGGGTGGAGCTGGTGTGCAAGGCCGTGCGGGTGGAGCTGGTGTGCAAGGCCGTGCGGGTGGAGCTGGTGTGCAAGGCCGTGCGGGTGGAGCTGGTGTGCAAGGCCGTGCGGGTGGAGCTGGTGTGCAAGGCCGTGCGGGTGGAGCTGGTGTGCAAGGCCGTGCGGGTGGAGCTGGTGTGCAAGGCCGTGCGGGTGGATCTTGTGTGCAAGGCCATGCGGGTGAATCTGCCCTTTGAGAGCCTGCTGCGACCCACTCCCCACACCGTGCTGCGACCCACTCCCCACACCGTGCTGCCTCTGCACGTGCATCGAAACACATTCACTCCCTTCCTCTCCACCTGCACTCCCTATCTCGTTTCACACCTCAGCGTGCATTACCATCGCCTCCACTCTTCCCTCCCTCTTGAACTCTCCCTAAACTTCTACATGTTTGCACCATTTCTCATATGACTCATTCCCTCCCCCTCAGATCCTCTTCCTTTTTCTTTATCTCCCTTCCCCAAACGCTCTCTCACTTTCTCATGCTGTCTCCTACCTGCCTCTCCCCGCCCCTTCCCTCCTCACCTGGTCGCCCAGAGTACGATCTGCTGGCAAGGGGAGGCGGCAGCGGCAGCAAGGGACGTGCAGGCAGCAAGGGACGTGCAGGCAGCAAGGGACGTGCAGGCAGCAAGGGACGTGCAGGCAGCAAGGGACGTGCAGGCAGCAAGGGACGTGCAGGCAGCAAGGGACGTGCAGGCAGCAGCAGAGGCGAGTGAGGCGGCAGCGCTGTCGTGAGGAGCCAACCGGCAGCAGGTGGAGGCGCGGCTCTGCCATGCCACGCTCGTGCGTGCTGCCAGGAGAGACAAAGGGATGGGGGGACGAGGGTGGGGGAGGGGGAGTCGTGTTTAGAGTCGACTCAAAACACGGCTCTGCCATGCCACGCTCGTGCCTGCTACCATGATAGGGGGGGGGAGGGGGGGGAAGAGGGGGATGGGGGGAGGGAGGAAGGGGGAGAGGGAGGGGCTGGATGAGGGAGTTTTATTGCAGTGTTGATGCCTGTCCAGCCATTTCTTTCCATGGACAATGCAAGGACTCGCATCCTCTCCTGCTGTACGCGCATGCTCTCATACACTACATTCACCCATGCATGCATACCCTTTCTTTCCCCTCGCTGCTCTCCTCCCCTCCCACCAAACCAAATCAATCACCACGGCAGGCCATCAAGCAAGGCGAGCGCCAGGCAGCCCACATCACATCACAGCTGCCCTGACCGACTCCACCTCGTGCCACCGCTCGTCCTCCTCCCCTCCCGCGTGCCCACCACCACACGCTGTTACGAAGCCCCTCACTTGCTCACCCGCTACCACCATCCATGCCTCTGTCTCGCATGCTGCGTTGCACATGGGTAATGGGGTAGGAGGAGCTGCAGAGAGGAGTGATGAAGGCAGGGTCACAGGGGACCGAAGTGAAGGATGGGTGGTGAGTGGCCGGGCTGGCGGGGACGGCTGTTTGCTGTTGAATGGTAGTGGGGCGTGGGGGCTTGAAAGCTCAAGAGTTGAGCACTTGGAGGGACGGCGGCCCTTGGAGGGCGGTGAGGGAGAGGAGAGAGCGTGTGAGGAGGAGGGAGTGTGTGAGGAGGAGGGAGTGTGTGAGGAGGAGGGAGTGTGTGAGGAGGAGGGAGTGTGTGAGGAGGACCTACCACTGGTGGACACAGTGCAGCGGTGGGAGGAGCGGGTGGCAGTGGTGGGAAGGGGAGCGGGAGGAAGGGGGGGCAGCACTGTGGAGGCGCTGAGAGCAGTGAGAGCAGCGCAGCAGGAGTGGGTGCAGGTGGGGCTGGCACTGGCACTGGCGGAGAGGCAGGTGGCCTGCCGCCTCGACATGGGATGGGAGCGTCTGCCAGCGACCCTTGAGGCGCGCTGGGAGCTGTCATGGGTGGCGGGGCGCATGAGGTGGTGGTTGTGGAGGAGGTGGGGGGCTGTGTGGGGGAGAAAGCAGCATATGGACGTGTGGCAGCATGCACCAGTATGATGCATGGAAGAGATCATGAGTCATGAGTTGAAATTGTCTCTCAACCATGCCTCGTGGTTGTGTCCTTGTTGAAATTGCATGACTTCACCAGGCTTGAGGCTTTGTTGTATTATTGCTGCACTGTTGTAATTCCATGTTTACAGCCACGGGTTAGGGAGGGGGGTTTGCCAATGTGCACTAATTTGGGGTATTATGGCCTGTAATTTCCACGCACATCTCGTTTTGACGAAATTGATCGGAAGTTGGTCTGGAAGTTAAAGCCCGAGTACCGCATGGTTTTTTCAAGTTCAAGATTCTTGCCCAAAAACAGGGTTACCTTACTTTGTTTGAGAGAACTCTCGCGAGTCTGGGCCAACGCCTTGCGACACTCCCTCCTGATTGGCTTTTGTGCTCAATCGCAGAACTGAACCCCTCGTTGCTCACTCTGCTACGATGTTCTCCTCTCACATACCTTGAACACCTAGTTGTACTCATAGTCTGCCTAGCTCATTGCCGTAAGTAGGAAGCGCAAGCCAGTGCGGCAAAAGCTAGAACCCATAACGGTTTTTTTTACGGCAACTCACGTCACCACACTGTCGCGCCAATAGCTAGGCAGCTCAATCCTAGTGTCACACACGATTTATATTTTTATATATATATATATATATATTTGGCGTTGCACGTTACTCACACGGAACTTTCGTTCTACCGTACCAACACACAAACGAGTGCCCCACGTTTCCCGCGCTTCGTCAAAGGTGCTCCCCCTCGCCACTCGCGCCTGCTTTCGTCAATCGCGCCTGCCCGGGTTAGCGTGCTTCCCCTCGTCACCCGCTCTCTCCCCGGCATCTGTCCTCTCGACCCCTCGTCGCGCGCTTTCCCCCTGTCACGCGCGTTTCCCCTCGTCACGCGCTCTCCTCCCCTCGTCCCGTGCTCAACCATTCACTCACGCTCCAGGGTAGATCACCCGTTGAAACAGACGTCACGCGCAGCAACTCGTTGCCCCAGTTGCTCCTCTAAGCCCTCGCCTCCCGTTGTCGCCTCCGCCACCCCAATCGGACAGCGTTTTGAACCCCTCTCTGCTCCCCACCATCCTCCCCCCAGCTCTCTCCATTCCCCCCATCCCCTTCCCTGCTTCCCCCCATCCCCTTCCCTGCTTCCACCCATCCCCTTCCCTGCTTCCCCCTATCCCCTTCCCTGCTTCCCCCCATCCCCTTCCCTGCTTCCACCCATCGCCTTCCCTGCTTCCCCCCATCCCCTTCCCTGCTTCTCCCCATCCCCTTCCCTGCTTCCCCCCATCCCCTTCCCTGCTTCCCCCCATCCCCTTCCCTGCTTCCACCCATCCCCTTCCCTACTTCCCCCCATCCCCTTCCCTGCTTCCCCCCATCCCCTTCCCTGCTTCCCCCCATCCCCTTCCCTGCTTCCACCCATCGCCTTCCCTGCTTCCCCCCATCCCCTTCCCTGCTTCCCCCCATCCCCTTCCCTGCTTCCCCCCATCCCCTTCCCTGCTTCCCCCCATCCCCTTCCCTGCATCCCCCCCATCCCCTTCCCTGCTTCCCCCCATCCCCTTCCCTGCTTCCACCCATCCCCTTCCCTGCTTCCACCCATCGCCTTCCCTGCTTCCCCCCATCCCCTTCCCTGCTTCCCCCCATCCCCTTCCCTGCTTCCCCCCATCCCCTTCCCTGCTTCCACCCATCGCCTTTCCTGCTTCCCCCCGTCCCCTTCCCTGCTTCTCCACATCCCCTTCCCTGCTTCCCCCCATCCCCTTCCCTGCTTCCCCCCATCCCCTTCCCTGCTTCCCCCCATCCCCTTCCCTGCTTCCCCCCATCCCCTTCCCTGCTTCCCCCCATCCCCTTCCCTGCATCCCCCCCATCCCCTTCCCTGCTCCCCCCCATCGCCTTCCATGCTTCCCCCCATCCCCTTCCCTGCATCCCCCCCATCCCCTTCCCTGCTTCCCCCCATCCCCTTCCCTGCTTCCCCCCATCCCCTTCCCTGCTTCCCCCCATCCCCTTCCCTGCATCCCCCCCATCCCCTTCCCTGCTCCCCCCCATCGCCTTCCCTGCTTCCCCCCATCCCCTTCCCTGCTTCCCCCCATCCCCTTCCCTGCTTCCCCCCATCCCCTTCCCTGCTTCCACCCATCCCCTTCCCTACTTCCCCCCATCCCCTTCCCTGCTTCCCCCCATCCCCTTCCCTGCTTCCCCCCATCCCCTTCCCTGCTTCCACCCATCGCCTTCCCTGCTTCCCCCCATCCCCTTCCCTGCTTCCCCCCATCCCCTTCCCTGCTTCCCCCCATCCCCTTCCCTGCTTCCCCCCATCCCCTTCCCTGCATCCCCCCCATCCCCTTCCCTGCTTCCCCCCATCCCCTTCCCTGCTTCCACCCATCCCCTTCCCTGCTTCCCCTCCCCCCATCCCCTTCCCTGCTTCCCCCCATCCCCTTCCCTGCTTCCACCCATCGCCTTTCCTGCTTCCCCCCGTCCCCTTCCCTGCTTCTCCACATCCCCTTCCCTGCTTCCCCCCATCCCCTTCCCTGCTTCCCCCCATCCCCTTCCCTGCACCCCCCCCATCCCCTTCCCTGCTTCCCCCCATCCCCTTCCCTGCTTCCCCCCATCCCCTTCCCTGCTTCCCCCCATCCCCTTCCCTGCATCCCCCCCATCCCCTTCCCTGCTCCCCCCCATCGCCTTCCCTGCTTCCCCCCATCCCCTTCCCTGCATCCCCCCCATCCCCTTCCCTGCTTCCCCCCATCCCCTTCCCTGCTTCCCCCCATCCCCTTCCCTGCTTCCCCCCATCCCCTTCCCTGCATCCCCCCCATCCCCTTCCCTGCTCCCCCCCATCGCCTTCCCTGCTTCCCCCCATCCCCTTCCCTGCTTCCCCCCATCCCCTTCCCTGCTTCCACCCATCCCCTTCCCTGCTTCCCCTCCCCCCATCCCCTCCCCTGCTTCCCCCCATCCCCTTCCCTGCTTCCCCCCATCCCCTTCCCTGCTTCCCCCCATCGCCTTCCCTGCTTCCCCCCATCCCCTTCCCTGCATCCCCCCCATCCCCTGCCCTGCTACCCCACCCTCTGCCCTGTTCCCACCTGCCCTCCCCATCCATGCCTTTCCTGTATTGCCTTTCCCTTCCCCATGTTGGAAATAAGAAGTCGCTAGAGCGCAGCGGAAGCTCTATGAATTAACGACGTCCCTACGGCGGGGCTATTGGTCACTCAGAGGTAGCTCTCCTGGCTTGCAACGTGGTGCCAAAGCAGCGGCCGAGGGTAGGCCGGACACAAGCTTGAGAATTGTGTAATATGAGCAAGGCATTACATTCTGTTATATAGCAAACGCATAGGGCAAACAGTTACCAAGGCGCAACTGTATAACAGTTGCGCTGCGTCGCTTGGGTTGCCTTGTTACAGTCGCGCTGGCGAGACTTTTCAGCTTCGGCAAGGGCGCGGTATCCTGCCGCGCCCCGCAGGTCAGTTTCGCGTACTGTAGACGATGACTCCTGCTGTCGATTCGACTCTTGAGCTGCCACGCGGGTCGCAACCGCTGTGTTCGGTTGAGGCCCGTTGACTCGCCACCAGGTTCAAATCCCTCGCTATGGCGAGCCCCTGTAAACACACTTCGAACAGTGCACTTATAATAAAAGCATACAAACATATTCTCAACACCCCATCCCTTCTCAACCCTTCCCTTCTCAACCCTTCCCTTCCTTTTCATGCCCTCCCCTTCCCCCTCACTCCTCACCACACATGCTTTCATCATGTGCGCTTCCTTGTATCCCCTTGCCGTTGTTCCCTTGCACCTCACACCACCTAACCCATGTTCCTTCACACAATTCTTTCTGCCTGCTCCTCTCCTAATTTTCAGTGAAGCAGAGGAGCAAGCTGAGGTGCAGCTAGTCGATGCTTTACACCGAACCACCACCGGTTTTTTGCCTGTTGTATGCAAGAATGATATTGTATTACTTCTGGAGATATGCATCTCAAAGGAACACTAAGCAATTTTGTTTCTGCAGTGCAAGATATTCTTCCAAGATGCACGATCAGAAGGGTACATAGAGGCATAGATGCACGATCAGAAGGGTACATAGAGGCATAGATGCACGATCAGAAGGGTACATAGAGGCATAGATGCACGATCAGAAGGGTACATAGAGGCATGTTCCCCATACTTTCGATTGTACCTTTCTCAAGGCCTTGAAAGCAACATGAGGGGAACTGGTTTCTCTGCGAGCATGGCATGGGATGATGGACTGAGGCGAGTTGCAGTACCAGAAGAATCGTCAGTGTAGTAACTGCAATAGCCAGGGAGAGGGAGGGAATACGAGATGGGGAGGGGGAACAAGAAAAAAGGCAAAACTGGGGAGATAGGGGAGATAGGGAAGAGGGGGTAGAGGGAAGCAGGGGTGAGATAAGAAAGAAGTACTGTAAGAAGAGGGAGGATAGGGAAGAGGGGAGATAGGAAGAGGGGAGATAGGAAGAGGGGGAGAGGGAAAGCTAGATATAGGAAGATAAACGAGGGGAAGAAGAGGGGGAAACGAGGGGAAACAGAGGGGGAAATCCTGGGAAGCAGAGGGGGATTCGAGGAGAAGCAGGGAGGAAAATTAGGGAAGGCAGGGGTGGATATGAGTGGAAGAAGGGGGGAAATGAGGGGAAGCAGTACGAACAGGGAAAGCAGGGATAGAAATGAGGTGAAGCAGGGGAAATGGGTGGAAGCAAGGGGACAAATGAGGAGAAGCAGGTAGGGAAATGAGGGGCAGCAGCGGGGTAAATGAGGGGAAGGAGAGGGGGGAATGAGAGAAGCAGGAGGGGAAACGATGAGAGCAGATGGGGAAACGAAGCAGAGGGGTAAATGAGTGGAAGAAGGAAGCAAAGGGGGAAATGAGGAAATGAGGGAGAGAAATGAGGGGAAGCAGGGAGGGAAATGAGGGGAAGCAGGGATGAGGGGAAGCAGGGATGAAATGAGGAGAAGCAGGGATGAGGGGAAGCAGAGATGAAATGAGGGGAAGCAGGGATGAGGGGAAGCAGGGATGAGGGGAAGCAGGGATGAGGGGAAGCAGGGATGAGGGGAAGCAGGGATGAAGGGAAGCAGAGATGAAATGAGGAGAAGCAGGGATGAAATGAGGAGAAGCAGGGATTAGGGGAAGCAAGGATGAAAATCAGGAGAAGCAGGGAGGGAAGTGAGGGGAAGCAGCGGGGGGAATGAGGGGAAGCAGCGGGGGAAATGAGTTGAAGGAGGGGGGAGAATGAGGGGAAGCACGGGGGGAAACGATGAGAGCAGAGGGGGAAACGAGGGGAAGCAACGGGGTAAATGAGGGGAAGGAGGGGAAGCAGGGTGTTAAAATTAGGGAAATCAGGGTGGGGTGAATAGAAGGGCAGGGAGGCGCGGGCAAGGGATGGGCAGGTGGGAGAAGGGCAGCGGGAGTGGAGGCGCGAGGAGGGGCAGCGCGACGAGGGTGCTGGCGCGCTGATGGCAGGGGAGGCGCCGCGGCGAGGTGAGCGGAGGCGCGGTGCAGCGAGCGGAGGCGCGGCGCGGCCTGCGGAGGCGCGGCGAGACGAGCAGAGGCGCGGCGAGGTGAGCGGAGGCGCGGCGCGGCCTGCGGAGGCGCGGCGCGGCCTGCGGAGGCGCGGCGAGACGAGCGGAGGCGCGACGTGGGGAGGCTCCCGGATACGAGGGGAGGCGTGAGGATGGGACAGGAGGCGCGGCGAGGGGAGACGCGACGACGGGAGACGAGGCACGAGAGGCTGCGCGACGGAAGGATGGGTGGCGCGAAGGGGGGTGGCGCGATGGGCGGGGGAACGCGACAATGGGAAGCGCGATGAGGGGAGAAGCTCGATGAGGGAAGGGGATGCGCGACTTCTTGAGCCACTAAGGGAGGTGCGTGAACAGGCGTGGTGAGGTGGCTTCACTCACCCTCGCGAGCACAACGACTTTGTGTATGCGCTTGTATCGATCCTAAATTCTGCGTATTTTACGCTGCGCGGCGCTCTCTTAGTAGGTGGCGTTGTAAGTAGCAGATGCGTCGCTCTGTTTATCTATTTTCCAATAGCAGTGGTGAGGAGACTACTCATGCAGCCACACTTTCGATGCTCGTCGTAAGAGACGCCAAGTGTGCGAAACTTTCGGTTTGGCTAGAGTGTCTCTTCGTGCGACACATTTTTCGCTTTGATTTGGTGGGATTCGCATTTTTGGTGTCCGCGAGATGTTCACTCGTTCGCGGAGGAAAGTAGTTCTCGCCAAAGGCACATAACCGAAATAGGTTTCGCAGAGCCTCATGTATAGCCTATTTCATATCCACATAACTTGAAAATTTACCATGCTGACCTCGGGCTTTAAAGCGTGCGCCATGTCAACTTCTGTACCTTGCCAACCTAACCCAGCCTAACTCTACTCATAAACTGCAAAATCATTGAACTACATGAGATCCTGGCTTCAAGCATACACCTTACGCCATACTGCTTATGAGAGAATCTTAACCTTGGCAAGCATTTGTCAGTCTAACCACATGGTAGTGAAAAAGGAATGTTATGCAGTCTTGTCCTTCTTTCCCAGGGCCTTCTTCCTCTGCCCCATCATGTATGTGTACATGTATGGGCTCCCTGCCATGCCAGACACACTGTATGTTAGCGACAAGTAATGGACGCAGCCTTTGGGTCCCCAAGCAGAAACTCAAGGGAATAACGATGGATTCCGACACAATTACGAGTGGGTTCGTTTCAACCGTCAGGAACAACTTGTGTGCCAAGTACAACGTACCGGGGATGTAGGTGAGGAGAATGAGGATGCAGACGAGGTAATAGTCAACGGCAAAGTTGGCCTTATTGGGCATGTCAAACGAGAACACGTGGGATGCCTGGCAGGGTGGAAGGGGGGGGGGAACAGCTCAACACTGTGATGAGTGAAACAATATGTGGTACGGTAAGGTTTGAAGTGAAGAAAAAACTGTCTAAAAAAAGGGGCTAAAAACAGGCTAGTGGACCACATAGAACGAGCTGGTACTTTGTTTATTCCGACTGGAAGTTAGGGCTAAATACAGTTAAAACAGCCCAAGGAAAGAGTTGGCAATGAGGGAAAGAGTTGGCAATGAGGGAAAGAGTTGGCAATGAGGGAAAGAGTTGATAAGGCAAAGTGTCCCAACATGCCACGCCCCGGACACCATGCCAACATCTGAGGTGCGGATGCAAAAACAGATGCCGAATGGAGTGAGAGCAGGAGGGCTTGGGATTGCGTATGGTGAGGGGGGGAATATACCTTGGCGGACTGAGGGGAGATACCTTGTGATGCGAGTATAGACACAGCGAAAGTGAGTGAAGATACTTTGAGGGCATAAACACAGGGAGAGTGTGTGGAGATACCGCGAGGGACAGTGCAGGGACAGTGAGTAGGAGACACATGGAGCAGGGCGAGAAAGAGAGAGAGAGCGAGGCGAACCTTGAGGTAGGGCAGCGCGAGGAGGGCGAGCCCCACTTCACTGGTGATGCCCGACGGGTAGAGCACGTAGAACATGCTGTACCTGGTGTGCGCACGGCCATGGGCCATGAGAGACACGGTGGAGGAGGGAGAGGGGGGGAGGGGGGAAGGGGTGCACATCAGCATGGAGGAGAGTGAGGGCTGGTGCCTGAAGGGTACAGCACGTGGAACATGCTGTAGAGCACGTGGAACATGCTGTAGCTAAGGGTGAAAAACGAGTTGGGAGGTACTCGATGACTACTCGAGATTTGAACCGGGCATTCGATATTTACCCTTGGCTGTACGGGGAAGGGAGATGGGGGGAGAGAAATGGGGTAGGGGGAAGGGAGATGGGGGGAGAGAAATGGGGTAGGGGGAAGGGAGATGGGGGGAGAGAAATGGGATAGGGGGAAGGGAGATGGGGGGAGAGAAATGGGGTAGGGGGAAGGGAGATGAGGGGAGAGAAATGGGGTCGGGGGAAGGGAGATGGGGGGAGAGAAATGGGGTAGGGGGAAGGGAGATGGGGGGAGAGAAATGGGGTAGGGGGAAGGGAGATGGGGGGAGAGAAATAGGGTAGGGGGAAGGGAGATGGGGGGAGAGAAATGGGGTAGGGGGAAGGGAGATGGGGGGAGAGAAATGGGGTAGGGGGGAGGGAGATGGGGGGAGAGAAATAGGGTAGGGGGAAGGGAGATGGGGGGAGAGACATAGGGTAGGGGGAAGGGAGATGGGGGGAGAGAAATAGGGTAGGGGGAAGGGAGATGGGGGGAGAGAAATAGGGTAGGGGGAAGGGAGATGGGGGAAGAGGAACGGCGTAGCGGGAGATGGGGGAAGAGGAACGGCGTAGCGGGAGATGGGGGAAGATTCGAACCGGGCATTCGATTTTCACCCTTAGCTGTACCTGGTGTGCTCAGGGAGATGGGGGAAGAGGAATGGCGTAGCGGGAGATGGGGGAAGAGGAATGGCGTAGGGGGAAGGGAGATAGCGGAGGGAGAACGGGTGCACAGCAGCATGGGTTGAGTGAAGGTTGGTGGGTGCAGGGTGGCGCACAGGGGATGGGAGGGAGAGAAGCAACCATGGTGCAAGCAGGTCAGAAGGAGAAGGAAGGAATGGGGTGGGGAGTGGTGAGGGGTTGGAAGACCGAGGAAGAGAGGACTGCAGACATGATCAAGTCAAGGTGGAGGGGTGGCTGGGGAATGCGAAAACGACATGGGGTGCAAGGGGCATGGAGTGCGAGGGGTAGGGAGTGCGAGGGGTAGGGAGTGCGAGGGGTAGGGAAGGGAGTGAGAAGAGCATGGAGTGCGAGATAATGGGGGCGCATGGGGTGCTTCGTACCTGAGCCAGAGCAGAGGCGCGGGCGTGAAGCCAAAGGCCTCCTTGACGGCGAAAAAGGAGTAGCGCACGATCTGAGAGACTCAGACACAGGCACACACAGCAAGCACAGCACACACAGCAAGCACAGCACACACAGCAAGCACAGCACATACAGCAAGCACAGCACGCACGGCAAGCACAGCACACACGGCAAGCACAGCACACACGGCAAGCACAGCACACACGGCAAGCACAGGCGCGGGGAAGGGGGAAGAAGGGCGGAAGAGTGGGAGACGTGAGGGGCGTGGGGAGGGAGAAGGAGGAGGGTAGAGCGGAGAAGGGGGAGCCCATAGCTGTGAGGCGATGCGATGCCAGTCAGGTGCTGGAGCGTATGAGGGTGGGGTGACATGCCCAGAGCACGTGGACAAGTTTGGGCGCAGCTGTTGGAGGTCTCGCGCCGTGCAGCAGGTATGGGAGGGGGATTGGGGGTTGTGGAGTGTGAAAGGGTGAGCCTACACTCTGGCACTCCTGCTGGCCCGTCTCGCAAATGGTAATAGCGTGCTGCCGTGTCGTGTATACCCTCCACCTACGGGCCTCCACCAAACTCGCCTCTCACCTCAGCTCACTCGCTCCTTGTCTCCTTCCTTGACTCTTTCCTGTCCTTCCCTCCCGCCCTCTCTCGCTTCATTCCTCACACGTTCACCGCACGCAACCCAAACGCACCCCCCACGCACCTCCCCCCACTCCCCCCACACAACCCCCATGCAGCCCCAATGAACCCTGCGCGCACCCTGCGCGCACCCTGCGTGCACCCTGCGTGCACCCCCCGCGTACCCCCCGCGTACCCCCAGCGTGCCCCCAGCGTGCCCCCAGCGTGCCCCCAGCGCACCTCAGTGATGGACCAGCTGAGCAGCAGCGACGCCACCAGCACGTGCTCCCGCACCTGCACACGTGGCACGCAGTGGCGGTGATGGGGTGCACACGTGGCACGCAGTGGCGGTGATGGGGTGATGGTAGGGGCGGGGCACACGGAGATGGGGACACACACGAATGGGGAAAAGCGGTGATGGTGGGAAAAGGAAAAGCAGACGAGCGGCGGCACGGCAGCATAAGTGGAGGCCATGTCGTCGCAGCATAAGTGGAGGCCATGTCGTCACAGCATAAGTGGAGGCCATGTCGTCACAGGGAAAGTGGAGGCCATGTCGTCACAGCATAAGTGGAGGCCATGTCGTCACAGCATAAGTGGAGGCCATGTCGTCACAGGGAAAGTGGCACCTCCATGGAACGCAAGCGGGTGCTTTCTAATTGTGAGAACGAAATCATTGGGAGAACGAAATCATTGGGAGAACGAAATCATTGGGAGAACGGGCGGCGGTGCAGAGTCGCGCGCCTATACGACCCTACGGTTCTCTCATCCCATCCTCGCCTCTTTCTTTCTTTCCCTTCCGTATCTTGCACGGAATGCAGGCGAGCGGCAGCCTTGTTGTGAGAGCGACCCCCTGTGGCACATCGTTTCGCGCCAGCCAGCACCTTGGGCACTTGATTGAACAGCTGATGCGCGGTAAATAACACATGACATGAGACACATGACATGAGACACATGACATGAGACACATGACATGAGACACATGAAAGAGCACCTTCGGCGCGGGGTAGAGCACCTGCGACGCGGGGTAGAGCACGCCCCAGACGAGGAAGAGGCGCGACGCGATCTGCGGAAGCGTGGCGGACACGGGCGAGCGCACGATTCCTGCCGCCCGCAGCGCGCACGTGGGGGAAGGGATGGCCCGATGGGGGTGGAGAAGGGATGGGGGGGGGGAGAAGGGGGTGAGAGAGGAAGGGAAGGGGCAGCGCGTGGGAGGCGCAACGCAAGAGGCAGGAGGTGCAGAAGAGGGACGTGAGGCAGCGATGTTGGAAGAAGGAGGGGTGGGGGCGGGGGCTAGGGACGATGAGAGGCACACATCCCAGGGGCAAATCACGTGGTACCGACTAGAGTTGCGGAAGCGAGCGTGCGATAAGAGCGCGATACGGAAACAGAGAAACGGAAACCGGGAAACTCACCGAGAATACTGTGGATGATCTGCGCGCGCCATGCCATGCCGACACAGCGGTGCGTTTTCCGCGGTGCCATGGGAGTAGGGAGAGGGACACAGGCGGTGGCAGTGCGGGGAGGAACACAGGAGCTGGCATATTAGAGGGTTGTAGACGAGCCAAGGTTTTAATTGCGGCGAGCAACTCGCAGAGTACGGTCCTCATTGCATTCACTGGTCCACGGATCTTGTAAATCCATCATCCCAGTAGCCGCGACTAACAACGCGGAGGTGGTAACGTCGTTAGCATGGGTTCGCTGCAATGACGTGGAGAGACGCCATACACCGGCATCTGCCGCAATGCACCTACCACCACATTGCATCCCCATCACAATCCTCGATATAAGCCTCTGACTGACCTCCATCAGTGCAGCGGTCTGAGCGATCTGCAGCGGAAGCTCCGCCGTGGCATACACGGTCGACGGGCCGCCCGTCGCCAGCGCTTGCACCGTCAGGATCAACACGTACAGCCTGCCATGCGATGCCATGCGATGCCACGCGATGCCATGCGATGCCATTGTATCCCCGTGCAATGTCACATGACGTCATGCGATGCAAGGTGTGAAGATACATGCATTCCGAGGTGGCTGAGTTATGTTGTGATGCGTAAGCGGATTGCATAGCTGGTAATGAGGCTGCGCGGAGGGAAGTGCCACACACCATGCGATCGCGAGGGAAGTGCCACACACCATGCGATCGCGAGGAACGCGTTGTACGGAACGAAGTAAAGTGCTTTTAGCGACGCCATCGCAGTCGTTAGCGTGGACTCCCAACGTGCCGAGGAAATGTTAGCTTGGAATTGCACGCTCCGCAGACGTTAGCGTGACCCGCTGTCAGCGAAAACAGGATCGCCAGGGAAAGTAGGGAGGAACAGATTACTGCTTAGGCAATGAGGAAGGCAGAGACGAGACTAGTAGTGCAGTGCTTACACGGGAAAATCTGTGACAGCACGAATCTGGCGACGGTTGCACTGAACCGCCCAGAACCGAGCTCGTCAGCCTGTCGAGGGCGGGAAGCAAGCTGACGCAGCCCCAGCCCGTGGACAGGTGTGGGGACCACCTGACACAGAAGGGGTTGCCCGCGCGCGGGAAAAATGAAGAGAAATGCATCCGCGATGCACGAAAGAAAATAGCGTCCAGCTAGGACAGAGTACAAGTATTGGGATATCATTAGCATATACATATATAAGGGCGTGCTACATATCTGAAATGTGGAAAGCTTCCAGATAACCGTTCGGAAAACACTCTGATACCAATTGTTTGGACGGTCCGAGAACAGCGTCCAGACTGAGCTTCGTCCGCACACTGTTTGTGACACCTTTTCATACCTACGACAATTAAAGTACTCACGAAATTGTATCCATTATTACGACGCTATTGCAACCTAGGTAACAGTCAAGCAACTCGCAGACTCGTATTCGTCAGCCAGTTAAGTCCAATACCTGTTACGTCCGTCCCTTTATCGAAATGTAATTGCCCGAGCGATTTACGGTAGGAGTGAAAATTATGCAGAAAAGGTTATATCTTGTTGGAAACAATCGGTCTTAAGCGCCTCTGTCGTGTCAAAACACCAAGGCACAAGCGAAGCAAAGCATATCGAGGCACCAGCGAGTCAACCCTCGGAGGTTGAAGTAACTGTTGGAGGTTACGCGAAAGTCAAAGGTCAGCGACCTTTGACCTGACAAATACAGCGCGACAGCAAGGACACACAACTGACTCGCTACAGAGCAGTTGCCCGAGTCGTCACTGTATCGAACCGCAACAGCAACAGTAAAGTAGTTACAATCGTATCCCTTCGTATTCCTTGTACTCTTATATATAATCTTGTATCTCTTTGTTTTAATCAACTTACTTTGCCCTCACATACTAGCGCAAGGTGGTTCACAATCTCTTCACTAAACGCTTCCGCTATAACAGTCCTACCCAGAGTTCATCCCAGGCCCCATGAAGTCAGAGAAATTTCTCTAATTTGCCTATAAAAGTCTGATTTCTCAGACTTTTTTTTTAGTGTTGTCTGTTAAATTCAGACTTTTTTTAAAGTGTTGTTGGTTAAATTCAGAGTTTTTTTTTTAAGCCAAGTCTGCAATTTCAGAGATTTTTTTGAGTGTACTCTGATAATTCAGAATCAAATGCGTACGGACTCTGAAACTGATTCAATGTACCTTGGCACCCACACCCACGATTTGCGCTAGTACGTGTACCTGGCTGGTCAATCACGCGTAACCTGGGACCACACATCAACAGTCAAGTTTTGTGGGCGTGGCCGCCCTGCGACGCGGTTTTTCCTACGTAAACACCAGCGCACACCCTGCTGGAGCACCGATTGGTCCTTATGGCAGCTTCTGTGTGCCATCACGGACCGGCCTTGCACCCACGATGCTGCACTAGCCACCTACGTCACAATGCTGACAGCATTGCACTTCTGACGCGCCTCGTCGTTGTCGTGCATGCAAGGCAACCACCCATCCACCTCAACGGGTCCTCCTTGTCTTGTCTACCGTATTGCCATCACCTTTCAACTAGGGTTTCATCCACACCCCCTAGCTGGTGTTGACTGGCCTCAGCCAGTCCCTAGTTCTGCCTCGCGAACACATTTCTTGTTCCTGCTCGGCAGGCTCTTTCTGAACCCCGCCATGGCGGTGCTGGACAATCCCGGCTCCAGCGATCCCGACCCTGATTCCCAGCCTGCCTTAACAGGCTTAGACCTTCTTCTCAGTACGTTAGAACTCGACAAGGCAGCACGCGCCACGCCCGATACGATCCCCACACAGAAAGAACCGACGGCACCGGTTATCTCACTGTCTGCCGAACCTGTGGCAGAGACACCTGCGGAACCAACAGTGGGTGCGGCCTCGCAGCATTCGCCTCTGACCACGGCGCGCACGATCTGGAAGGGATGTCTGGGGCAAGGCTATTCACCCCCGACGAGTACCCGCTGGATCGAGGAGAGAGGAACCGTAGGTGCATGGAGTGGCTGGAGTCGCTTGTGACCCTTTTCAAGGCCGACCAGACCGAGGAGATCCTCCCCGACAAGCCCATGTTTGTGTAGTTCTCATGTAACTATTGTAATTGGCATTGCATATATTGTGCTTCACTATATATTCACTAAGGATCGTCTACTGTTACTCTTCCTCCCCCACCAGGAATCAACAAGCGTCGTGCGGAAAAGGAGCTGCGCATGTTCTCCTCGGTGCTTGCAGGAGCCACGAAGAACGAGCGCAACTTCCACGCCGGGCTCACTACCATGCTCAAGACACCCGACTGGCGGGACAACTAACCCAACCTCGTGCTTCTATGGGTGGCAGTAGCCGTACTGCCGCTGAGCACAGTGGAGTGCAAGCGGGGATTCTCCCGCCAGAACATCATCAAGTCGTGGCAGAGAGGCGCGCTGAAAGATGCACGCCTAGGAGACCTCATGTGCATGAGTCTCATGGACTACGAGCCCAAGTGGGATGAAATTGTGACCATCTGGAGGAGCTACAAGAAGCGCAAGCCCCAAAGCAACGCTCCACTCCCGCCTGCTGGAAGGCAACAGAGCAAGAAGAGTAGGGAGGTTGATGACGAGATGGAAGTGGTAGACTTAGACGCTGAGAAAGATGCAGTTGACAGTGATGATGACGATGGATTTGCTGACTGGATGTAGGTAGGGTAGTTAGTTAGTTAGTTCTATTCTAACTGTGATCTTGTGAAGGCTAAGCAACATCATTAATAGTAGTAGTAGTACTAGTATGAATGTAGGCAAAGCTGTATGAGAAGTGGAGTAGGCTTGCTTCAATATGATTACTAGGGCTACAACAAGCACGATCAGACTTTTACTTGAGTGTACTCTGAAAGTTTCAGACTTTTTTTTAAACACACTCTGACGTTTCAGACTTTTTTTTTAGACAACTCTGAGGATTTCACACTAATACTGAGAGAGAGTCTGACGAATCAGACAGGCCAAAAACGAATCTGAGGGCATGGTTCATCCCTGTAAAGATCTTAAGGGCTTTTCTCAGCCCAACATGGTATGAGAGAAGTCAGGGAGAATTCAACTTCTACAAAAATACCGACAACATCAACAGGCATGGCTACACAAAAATAAAGGAGCACCTCCAACGGCTCCCAGGGCACTACTCCTACTCCACCTCCTGCCTTTGGCCTACAGACAGAGGAGGGCACAATAACAAGACCCAGGGCTGTCAGAACATTATAGCTCATGCATATTGTGTAGGCTATAGTGGGGTAGCCCATAAGGGGTACAACCCAATTAGGGCTAGTACTTGTACACAATTCATTCATAGTTCATTCATCCTCGTTTCAGTTTTATCATGGTATCGAGCAGGTTCCCTCGTGGGAACTGTGCCTAGGGCCCACCAAGTCGAAAGTTTTTTTTTACTGCCCGGAGCGCGCTCTGCCCGAGTCGCGCTCCCTTCTCTGACTTCGTCGAGCCGCCCTAGCGGCCAAGTCGCGCCGCCTTAGCGGCCCCTGATTCGTCGCCCTACCTGCGCCCCGGCCCTGTCGCCCTACCTGCGCCCCGGCCCCGTCGCCCTACCTGCGCCCCGGCCCCGTCGCCCTACCTGCGACCCCGGCCCCGTCCCCCCCCCTTACGACCCTGGCCCCGTCGCCATACCTGCGGCCCCGGCTCTAGCCCCGTCGCCCTACCTGCGCCCCGCCCCGGCCCCGTCGCCCTACCTGTGCACCGGCCTCGTCGCCCTACCGTCGACCCGGCCCCGTCGCCCTACCTACGGCCCGGCCCCGGCCCCGTCGCCCTGCCTACGGCCCGGCCCTGTCGCCCTACCTTCGACCCGGCCCCGTCGCCCAACCTACGGCCCGGCCCCGGCCCCGTCGCCCTACCTACGGCCCGGCCCCGGCCCCGTCGCCCTACCTTCGACCCGGCCCCGTCGCCCTACCTGCGCACCGACCCTGTCGCCCTACCTTCGACCCGGCCCCGTCGCCCTACCTACGGCCCCGCCCAAACCGCCTATGCAGCCGAGCCGCCCACGCCGCTCAGCAGCTCGAGCCGCCCGTTCCACCCGAGCCACCCGAGCCGCCCGAGCCGCCCGAGCCGCCCGAGCCGCCCGAGCCGCCCGAGCCGCCTGAGCAGCTGAGGAGCCGAGCCGCGGGTGCCGCCGAGCCGCAGTTGCTGCCGAGCCGCCCGAGCTGACCGAATCGCCCTGTCTGGTGAGCGCAGCGCCTCTGTCACTGCACTGCCCCTGCTCTACAGTTAGCGCTGCTAGTCTACTGCTGTCATGGCTACCCCTAGTGTCCTCGCTTTTGACGCCGAGGGTCGAGCCATTGACTTTGACGTCTGGGTAGATGACCTGCAGCTGTTCTTACAGTGCGATAGGGCAGACGGTCTCTCCCTCTTTGACCTCACCTCTGGTGCCTCTCCTGCTCCTGCTGCTGATGCTGACGCCACTGTTCGCTCCCAGTGGGCCACGCGCGATGCTGCAGCACGTCTTGGTGTGCGTCGCCACCTCCCTACCTCTGAGCGTGCGCACTTTAGTCAGTACAAGAGTGCTCAGACCTTGTACGACGCTGTAGTTGCACGCTACTCCTCCCCTGCCACTGCTGCACTGAGCCGTCTCATGCTACCGTACCTCTTCCCTGACCTTGCTGCCTTTCCCACAGTCGCTGACCTCATTACGCACCTCCGCACTAGTGACACTCGCTACCGCGCTGCGCTTCCTGCTGACTTCTGCGCCAAGAACCCTTCCCCCCCATGTACATCACTCTCTACTACATAGTCACTCGCCTCCCTGACTCCCTTCGCGTAGTCAGGGACCACTTCCTCTCAGTCTGTCCCACCACTCTCACTGTTGACCTCCTCGAGAAGTCCCTCCTAGCGGCCGAGAAGAGCATAGTCGCTGTAGGGGCCTCTTGTGGTGACCCGCGCACCCCCATCTTTGAGGGGTGTTCCCCCTCCCCCCTTCTGCCCTCTATTGCCTCTGCTGCTGCGGCCGACCTCCTTGGTCTTGAGTCGGTCGGTGCGGCGTGTGCCCCTAGCGTGAGACGCCGCTCTGGCAAGTGCAAGGGGGGCAGGGGCACTCGAGGAGCGAGCGGGGGCGGTGGAGGTGGAGGTGGAGGTGGAGGCGGCGGGGGGAGTGGGGGTGGCGATGGGAGTGGAGGTGGGGGTGGAGGTGTCGGTGGCGGCGGTGGAGGCGGAGGCGGCGGCGGCGGTGGCGGTGGGAGCGGAGGTGGCGGAGGTGGTGGCGGTGGAGGAGGCGGCGGAGGCGGCGGTAGTAGCGGAGGCGGCGGAGGCGGCGGGGGTGGCGGTGGAGCTGGTCGCGGGTCTACGCAGAGGAGTGGCTCCGGTGGTGGTCCGCGCCAGCAGCAGCAGCGTGGTCGTGAGACCCTGTCCCCTCAGCAGCTCAGTGAGTGGTACACTGCACGCCAGCGGGGTGGGGGTTTTGGTCCGTGCACCTACGTCCTGCGCACCGGCGACCGTGCGGGTGAGCAGTGTGGGGGTGCGCACCCCACCCAGCGCTGCTTTGGCCGCCTGACGGACGCGTGGCGTCACCATTTCCCGGAGGCCACAGAGATCCCTCGCTGGGGCAAGTTGTCTTGGGCGGGAGTTGCCATCTATGATCTTGATTTTGATACTATCCTTTCAGTCCATCTCAGCCATCACAAGGCCTTAGGCACGGTGGAATCTTGAAGAAAACGCTTGGACAGAATTCTGCCAGACATTTCGCTTTTACGAAAAACGCCGTCGCGGTTAGCACACTTTGAACTAGGACGCAGCTTAACCATCAATCGAAAGATCGGGAGCAGATCTACAATAACATGGTCTCACTCGTCAAAATTGGTTGAGAATAGATGACGATTCGTCGCTTCAAAGTCGACCACCAGCTTCGATACCACTTGTTGCTTAGGATCCGGTCAATTTGAAGACTTACGACGAACTCAAATCTCAACTAAATGCAAATCTGCTCGGTAGGATTGTGCGCGGCGGTCTTGGCTACCATTAGCAAGTTGATTCACTTGATTTCATGGTCTAGGGAGTGGAACCAACTGAAAACGTATAGCTGTTGCTTTCACTAGAAAGGATGGAGGAAGAACAAACATTAGGCATAGAATGACGAGTTGGGGGGTTTCAAGAGAACCTTGTGAGGGGAAGGCTCTCCAAATGCTTGGGAAGGATGGTGGGAACCTTCCTAGCATCAAAGAAACAACCCTCATAATGAGGTCCTTGAGGTGTCACATGCAAAATCCAATCCAATTGGATTTTACCTAGGTATTGCAACATTTGCAACTCATGCTAGAAACTTCTAGCCACCCCAATCCAAAAGTCAAACTTGCCTTCCTAACCACCCAACCAAAGATCCCTTCATAGTCATGTCCCAATAATCCGCCCAATTTAGTTAATATCCCAAATCAAGATAGAATTCCCAAATCTTGGAAATCTTGTAACTTGGGCGATCTTGGTCAGAATAAGGCGATCTTGGTATCGTTGGAAAGCTCTGGATTTATCCTGCGCGATCAAGCATTTAGAATTGGAGAAAAACACAAAGGTGATAAAATCCAACAGCCATACATAAGGATTTATGCTCATGCAAATGACGCAAGCATGAATTGCACAAGCACACAGCAGGACGATAGGATGACATGCACGCATACTGACGTGCATATAACACATGTCAACCCTTGCATTCTCATCAGCTTCATTCCCATTTGTCGTGCCCCGCGCTGCCCCACCGTTCCCCACCGTGCCCTCCGGTGCCTTGCCACGCGCCACCACCTGCCATCGTTTGTGCAATGCAACATGCTAAAATCCGCTCTTCTCTACTTCGTGAATGTGCATCATCCCTCGCCGCCATTCGCCTAAGCCCACCTCCATATTTCCCCGTCTCTCCTTGCTCCCCCACTCACCTCCCCTCAATCTCACCTCCTGCCCTTGTCCCTCCCCGCCTCCCCCTCGTCCACGTCTCCTGCCACCCTGTGCCACGCTGCTGCCTCCACACTTCTGCTGTTGCTACCCTACCATGCCTACAATGCCTACCATGCCAACCATGCCCACCATGCCTACCATGCCTACCGTGCCTACCATGCCTACCATGCCTACCGTGCCTACCGTGCCTACCATGCCTGCCATGCCTAACCATGCCTACCATGCCTCTAGGTTGGTATAAACGTGTTTGGCGTATATACGCGTTTCGTGTATACGCCAGCATTTGCACGCTTTACATTGGAGCGTCCTGATCGAGGATACGCTTTTCTGGGCAGGAAAAAACTTTCTCGGGCAGCGTTAAAAAACCCTTCTGGGGTTGGGTCCAGATGGGTTTCGTGCAGGGTGTGTTTTTGTTTGTTTTTTTCCTTCCCCATAATATAATCAGCAATGTCATACAAAATCAGGGATGTCTCATACTGGTCTCTCCCCACTACCCACCCTCGTCTCCCCCCCCCCCCCTTCCTTCTTTGAATGCTACTCATACTCGTCCTCCAAGATGTCGTCGTCATCCTCCTCCTCCTCCTCTTCCTCCTCCTCCTCCTCCTCCTCCTCCTCCTCCTCCTCCTCCTCCTCCTCCTCCTCCTCCTCCTCCTCCTCCTCCTCCTCTTCCTCCTCATCCAGCACATTGTAACCTTCGAGGATGGGGGGCTTCGGCTCATTCCCACACACATCCTTGCGCGTGTGCCAGTTGTGCACAACGTTCCAGTTGTGCGCAACAAACACCAAATCCGCACACTTGGCGGACCCTAAGCGGTTCCTGTGGGCAGTGTGGACTGAGTCCCACGATGCCCAGCCACGCTCACAGGGTGAAGCCAAGATGGGCTATGAGAGAGAATCCGGATGGTGAGGGACGCAATGCGGGGGGCATCTGTCCCGTTCCATTGCCACCGCTTCACCATGCTGTAAGTGCCCGCCTTCACCTTCTCCCTTTGTGTCACAGCCTCCGCCATCCCGAAACTCCCCTTCATGTCCAAGATATCCCTCAGCCCGTCCCCCAACTTAACCAAGTAATCACAGGCCCCATCCCTCCCCTTCCCGTCGTGGCCAACGAGAAACTGCGCATGCTGGTGAAGGAACGCTTTGAAGACGTGCGTGCATTCGGCGTCGCTTCCAAAGATGTCTTCTTCCTAGTTCGCGGGGTTGAGGATGGCGTGCATGGCCTGCCACATGCATGGCGCACGCGAGGCTCCCGTCCCACCAGTTTTTAGGATGCGGCGGATCTGTTGCTTCTCGCTATAGCACAACTGCTTCTCATCGGCATCCACGAGAGCCCCAACGTCCTCTGTGCGTTGGAGCATCACGTCGTAGATCCTGCCCATCATCCCTTTTGCCTCCCCGTCCGTCTTGCACATCGCCTCGAAAGGGAGCTCCAGCAGCTTGGTGAAAAACTCGGCTGTTTTCCACCAAGTCGAGTCGAGTACCAATGCGGCAAACTTCTCTGCAGCCACCTTGCGCGAGCGAGCAGCCCACTCCTTCCACTCGTTGCCGAGGACCATCTGCGTGAGGGTGGAGCTGAGCTGAGAGAGACGGGAGATAGCGATGTATTGGGTCCCAAAGCGGGTCCCCGCGGGTGCGGCTGCAACACCTTCCCCTCCACCAACTTCGGGTTCTGCAAATAACCGCGCGTCCAATGATGGTTGTGGGTGAATGTACTTATCTCCGCACCACAGTCAACCACCTTTTTCGCCCACCCCATTTTCCCCACGTCCTCCATCATCAGGTCCATGACGTGGGTGGCATAAGGAACCTGCTGAATGTGGGGCCACATCTCAATCAGCTTCTGGCACACCGATGCGTAGTTAAAATCCCCATCCATATAGAGCGCAACGATGTTCACAGGTCCCACTTTCTCCACGACGGGTTTCAGTAACCACGCGACATATCCCCCTATCTTCTCCATGTTGTAGTCCACACACTCCTTCAGGACGGCGCAAGCGTCATTCACGAGGAGGACATTTGCCTGCGGCCTGCCACACTTGTCCGTCATCATGTCGGACGCGATGGTAACACCCGTCTTCTTCCAGCTAGCCTTGATCCCCATCACGCCGTTCTCAGTACCCTTGCGGCAAGCGAGCAGTCCGGCCCCGCCGATGTACTTGCAATGTGGGGGAATGTAGCCGTGACCGCTGCGTGCAACCAGGTGCATAGAGTTGACGAAGAGCAGATGGTCGATGAGGTTCTCTAGGAGGCGAAATGCGGCAAACATGAGCGCAAGGCCTTTGTGTGCTTCACATTTTGCCACAGCAGCGTCGCCCTCAAGGTACTCGGTCATGCGGGCCCGTTTGCCACCAGCTTTGACCGACTCTATAGCAGCCAACACCGCGCTCTCTTTCTCTTCTGTCGCAGCAGCTTGTCCCTCGTACATCTTGCGCATCGCAAGGCAAACATCAACAGGTGCCTTTTTGCAGAGCGTCACCTCGCGGCGCTTCATCTTCTTCCATGATCTTAGGTGTTGAGCGCATCCGATGGCGGCACCTAAAAGACACTGAAGCAGTACTTGCACTCGTACTGTTGTGCCTTGCCCTCTTCGCGCTTGATGAGACTGAAGTGCTTAAAGACGTCGTGGACTAGATCAGGAAGGTACTCCCTTGTCCCTTGTGGACGAACCATAGAACTCTCCACTGACTGAACGGAAGGCAGGGTGAGAGGCGGACTACTTGATGCCATCGTAATGAGGCTAGTTGTTGGTAGCGGGAGAGGGAAACCGAATAAGATGGACGTTTTGACGAGTTGATAAATAGCATGTCGAGTGGCGGGAGATTGAGCATGAATGGTTGGACTGAATGAATGCTGTGAGTTTGAATGCGGTAATGTGTTGGGATAGAAATGTACAAACGTGCAAACGCGACTCGATGTACGTGACCATGAATGTGCGAACGTGCAACATGTGAAAGTGAAATCGCGACACAAGGACATGAATCTAATTTCCTGCTACCGTAGACCTCGGACATGCAATCTGACGTCGCAGTATTTCTCACCGTGCCATTCCACATCTTTTGGTGTGTTTGAAAAAATTGGTGTGGCGTATAGTGTATTCGCTAGCGTTTCGCGTATTGCGTGTACACGCTAGCGTATGAACGCTGAACGCTAAAGCCCCTTAGAGTACATTCCAACTTAGCCATGCCTACCATGCCTACCGTGCCTACCATGCCTACCGTGTCTACCATGCCTACCATGCCTACCGTGCCTACCGTGCCTACCATGCCTACCATGCCTACCATGCCTACCAGTCACAACACTGGCTAGCAAACGCGTGACAGTAGGGTAAGCAACATGAACCTAGTAAGACTCAGGGTCCTAAACGTAAGGCAAAGAAGACGCAGGAGGAGATGGCAGCGGAACACGGTCTGGAACAGAGGAAGGACGAAGTGCCATAGCGTGTGTGCCTGGGACAGAAGGCGGATGCTCACCAGGAACACGACTACCAGTGTGACGCGCGTGAAGAGGCTAGGCAGGACGAGACGCAGGCTCACGGCGCTCTCTAAGTGAGTCTGTCTACTCAGTGTAAGGAGAAAGAGCAGGCAGTGGTGCGCCGGGCTGTAACGGGAAGCCAGTAGAAGACGGGAGGCTAAGAACCTGGCGAAGCACAGAGTCAGGCGGTGGCAAAGATGACGGTGACGGCGGAGCGAAAAACAGTCGCGGCGATGCAGTGCCACCAGCACCAGCAGCTCCAGCGCCTACAAATAGCTCCAGAACCTCCAGCTCCAGCGCCTCCAGCAGCTCCAGAACCTCCAGCAGCAGCACCTCCAGCTCCAATGCCTCCAGCAGCAGCACCTCCAGCCCCAGCGCCTCCAGCAGCTCCAGAACCTCTAGCTCCAGCGCCTCCAGCAAAAGCACCTCCAGCTCCAGTGCCTCCAGCAGCAGCACCTCCAGCTCCAGCGCCACCAGTAGCAGCACCCCCAGAACCGGCACATCCAGCCCAAGGGTCCCCAACTCCAGGGTCGACAGCACCAGCTCCAGGGCCTCCAGCCCCAGTACCTCCAGCAGCACCACCCCCAAAGCCGACACCTCCAGCTCCAGGAGCAGCACCAGTCCCGGCAGCTCCAGTACCTCCAGTATAAGCACCTTCAGGACCAGAGACACCAGCACTTCTAGCGCCTCCACGACAAGCAGCTCTAGCAGCACAACTCCTCAGGCGAGTACGCAATGCGAGCCACTCTCGTGCCTGCTGTGGTGAGAAAGGCCCGCGTCGGTAATCGAGACCCAGAGGAACGCCAGCAAACTCAACACCCCCCGACCCAACACCCTCCGGCTCAGCACCCGTAGGCTCCGCACTCGTAGGCTCAGCACCCCTAGGCTCGGCACCCCCTAGCACCTCACGGACACGCACCCCCAGAATCCGCAGCCGCAGGCTCAGCACCCCCAACTCCACACTCCCCAGCACCTCACGCGCAGGCTCAACACCCTCAAAAGCAGCACCCCCTGCAACACCTCCCGCAACAGCACCTGAGTCGCTAGTGACCTCTACAGGCTCAGCCAAGGGGGGCGGGAACACTTGAGACACACCTGAAGGAGCAGGACCCTAAGGCGGGAGGGAGTCGACCGGAGGGGAACCTGGAGCGAGGAAAAGCGGCGAGGGAGGGTGTGAGGATCTAGGATCGAGCTCAGAAATGAGAGTTTGAATTGAATTGAATTGAATGATCACCTGGGTACAACACGAGGCTATATATAGGCTCGACACAAGGCCCCGTAACCAGGTGTTACGCGAAGGTTCCGCGGGTCACGAAGCGTCACGAACAGATCCTTACCGAATTAGGTAGAAGGCAATTCGGTGGCAACCGAAAAGCCAGAATTCGGTGCACGCAACCTAGCTCGGTGCTATAACTATAATAAAATATAGGAAAGCACCTAGCCTAGGAAATCAAGCAATTCATGCATGCATATAATCATCCTATGCTAGAAATAGCATAATAAAGTAAAGGCAAGCAACCATAGCTGGCATAAGCCGTCGTACTCTCACACGTCCCCCCCTCAAAGCTGGGTGGCGTGAGATACACCCAGCTTGTCAAGATAGTCCTTGAGAGCACGGCGTGTATTGCCCATATCACCTTCTGCAACCCAACTGTCCTCAGTGGGGTCGTATCCCTTCCAGCGTATCAGGAACTCGAGGGTCTTGCCGCCGCGGCGCCGATGCGTGAGAACGCGCTCCACTTTGTACTCTGGTTCATCCTATACGAGAACCGGTGGTGGTGGCGGTATCTGCCGTCCCTGGAACTGTTGGTTGGGGTCATTGTATGGCTTCAGTAGCCGTACATGGAAAGCGTTGTGAAGCTTCCATGTATCTGGTAAGCGCAAGCGGAATGTAACTGGTGTCACCTGTGCCTCGACAAGAAAAGGACCACAGAAGCGAGGCCGGAGTTTGGATGGGAGGTGAGACGGGTTCAAGTTGCACGTGTCAAGAAGCACCTGATCTCCGACTGCTACTGAGTGATCACGTCGCTGACGATCGGCATACTGCTTCTGGGAGGTCTGCATCATGGTGAGTCGTCGCTGAGTCTTCTCCCATAGCTGCTGCATGGTCGTGACGACGTCATGTGCGGCTTGGACGTGTGGCGGTGTGGTTGGCTGCTGTGGTGTGAGTGGTTCCCGTCCGTAACACAGGAAGAAAGGAGTTTTCCCTGTGGCCGCATGTGATGCGTTGTTGTAAGTGAAATCTAGGGTCGGTAACTGTGTGTCCCAGTGGCTGACGTCGTCCTTGCAAGCTGTGCGCAGCAACTGTTCAACCACTTGATTGAGTCGCTCTGTCTGTCCGTCAGTCTGGAGGTGGTATGCTGAAGACATTGCAAGCTTTGTCCCCAACAGTCCCATGAGCTCCTTCTAGAACTTACTGGTGAATTTTGGGTCTCTGTGTGAGATGAGTGTAGCGGGGATGCCGTGGATGGTGATGATGCAGTCGAAGAAGAGGCGAGCAGTTGCTTCAGCTGTAGCTGTGGCGTTGGTCGGTATGAAGTGACCCATTTTGGAGAACTTATCGATGACTACAAGGATGGAATCATGTCCCCGTGAGGTCGAAGGAAGTCCTGTGATGAAGTCGAGGCTAACGACCTGCCATGGCTGCTCTGGTACGGGTAGAGGCTAAAGTAACCCTGCTTTTTTCTGCTTGCTGCTCTTCATCCGCTGGCACGTGTCGCAAGAGGTGACGAACTGCTGCACGTCTACTGCCATCCCGGGCCAGTAGTAATACTTCGCTATCTCTACTAACGTCTTGTTGCTCCCGAAATGTCCCGCATAAGGTACGTCGTGAAACTCCTCCAATAGGATCTGCCGTAGCGGGGCGTAATTCGGTACCCAAATCTTTCCTCAACCCTTCCTTACAGCTAAGTCTTTCTCCCACTGTAACAGCTTCCTGGTCTGTGCTGTAGCAATCTGTGCGTCCACGGAGTACCCATGTTGGAAGAGAACCTTGAGCAGAGGGTTCATCCCATCGAGCTGGATGCCTGCTACATGTCCGGGGCGGCTCAACGCGTCTGCCTTGTTGTGTAGCCCGGGCTTGTAGACGATGTCGTAGTGGAAGTGAGTTTCGAGGAAGTCCACCCACCGCACCTGTCGTCGTGAGAGCGTCGGCTGCGACTTCAGGTATTTGAGACTGCAGTGGTCAGTATAGACTGTAGTCTTCGCTCCCTCTAGGTAACACCTCCACGCCTTGAAGGCTATGACTATCGCTAAGGCTTCCTTGTCATGGATGGGGTAGTTCAGTTCTGCTCCGTGTAGCTTCTTACTGAGGTAGGCGATGGGCTGCAAACCGCGTCCGTGATCCTGCATCAGTACTGCTCCGACTGCTTGGTCACTAGTGTCTGCTTCCACCACGTAGTCTTTGTCTGGATCCGGCAAGATGAGTACTGGCGCTGTAGTCAGTGCTGTTCCATGGCTTGCTGATGAGGGGTATCCCATTTGTAGGGCGTATCCTTTTTCAGTAGGTCGGTTAGTGGCGCTGCTATCTTAGCGTACTGCGGCACGAACCTGTTGTAGTAGTTGGCGAAGCCTAGGAACTGCTGCAACTCCTTCACGTTCTCCGGTACTTTCCACTTCTTGACGGCTTTGATCTTCCGCGGGTCCACGTGTACGCCCTCGGCACTCACCATGTGCCCTAGAAAGTGCACCTTCTTCAGGGCGAAGTCGCTCTTCGACAGCTTCACGTAGAACTTGTTTTTCCGCAGGATCTCGAACACCTTCCGCAGATGCTCCATGTGCTCCTTCATGTTCTTGGAGTAGATGAGAATGTCGTCCAGGTACACCATCACGCACTCGTCCAGCAGGGGTCGTAAGATGTGATTCATCTCCGCCTGAAACGTTGCTGGTGCGTTGCAGAGTCCGAACGGCATCACCAGGTATTCGTAGGAGCCGTATCTAGTACGGAATGCCGTCTTGTGGATC